CTTGTCAAGAAAATGAGTTCTGCAATGCATGAATTAAATGTTATGTACACTCTCAGAACCAATTAGATAATCAGGTTGGTTCTGAATATTCAGACTACACAACACACTATCGGAAAATCAGAAATAAACCTGGATATAAAAAAACATGTAGACATAAAGATAATCTTTTATTCATTACAAAAGAAAGGAGTCTATGCTACACAGTCGGTAACCATCATCTTTTTCAACTCTGTTCCATTCTTCTAACCTTTATCACTTTCAACAACAGCACGACACAAGCTTTCGCCGTACCTGGACAAACATGAATACGAACAGCGTGCATGCACGAACTCGTGCTCGTCGTGAACAACAACTAGAAGAGGAGGAAGAGCAAAAAACGTAAAGATCTAAAACTTAAACCAGCTGACGATGTTTTGGATGAAGAGAAAGTTATGCTCGATGCTAACTTGAATAGGACCCAGTTGGCTCAAAGCACTAGTATGCCTCGAAACAACCAGGATATTATTGTAAAGTGTGTGATTGTGTGGTGAAGGATAGTGTCAATTATTTGGATCACGTTAATGAAAAAACGTGAGTATACGTGAATGTGGATTTGGCGTTTTATTATGTTCTTGCAATTGGTAGGGAGAATAAGAACATAAAAGATTGGTTGAAGACAATACTTAATTTTTTATTCCTTTTTGAAAGTAGAGTGCGAGCGTAGTACATTGGATCAAGTACAAAAACGACTGGATTGTTTAAAAAAAAACAAAAAGATGAGAAACCACAAGAATATGATTTCGAGGCGAAAAAATGCTTCAGCAAGAAGAAGAGGAGAAACAGAAACGAAAAGAAGAGAAAAAGGCAAAGAAATCTAAAGAAAAAAACGCAGTTGCAGACAATGAGGTAATGAGGGTGAAGGATTGGATCCGGAAATGGCAAAGTTGATTGGGGGGGTTATGTTATTGCTGAATAATGCGTTGCTAAATTATTATTTAAAAAAAGGTTCGGAGGATTTGGACCAACAAAAGTTTGAGTGTTAAAATATTATTCAAGAGGGAATAAGAATACTGACTAATTAATGAAAGTGACTTTAGAAACAGAAAATCGAAATTGATCGAGTAACTCGATGAAGTCGTGTATATATCAATAAAATGAAAACAGGTGCTTAGATCTTTCTTGGAGCACTAATTAAAAATGTCGGGAAGGCAATTTTAAATATAACCTTGATCTCCTTCCCAACCCTAACCCTAACGTTAAAATACCTTTTAATATTTTAAGATATATCACATGATAGACTACGCTTTAGCCGTTCTCTAAATAACGTAATATTTAATTATGCTAGAAAGTAGAGTGTTGAAAGCTCATTTTTTTTTACATATATCGAATCTCTATTCGTAAAATCTAGGATATTTGTTGTTACTGCATTTTTCTTCCGATTAAGACTATAAAATATGGTAATTTCAAAATATTTAAGGACTTGTATAATAAGTCTTTTTGCTGATTTGCTGTTTTCTATTTGAAGCTCAAGATTGTACGCATTCGACATAAAGAGGGGATGAGTCGCTTTGGGGTTGATCCAAATGACGATATTATGGCGTTGGCAGAAAAAGTGAGAATCTTTGCTTTAAGTCATGAATCTATGTATATGAACTTTATTTTTTTAAAACTAAACAAATGTTTTTTCCGTCAAGATTGCAATTTGATCCGTCCACACTTAAAATATCAAAAGAACCGCAAAATGGTGTACAAGCGAAATAGCTTTCCGGACCGAGCATCGCTCAGTTGGGAATAAAGTACGCATAGAAAGTATGCCATATGATTTGTCAAGTTTTTTTAGTCTCACGAACTCGTATCAATCTTTTTAGTCATGGTGATCTTATATACATAATTGTTGAAGACGGAGCGAAACCAGGCATTCAGTAGTTTCCGCTGGGACCATTTGAGCCAACAACGAATACCAGTTCATCATTAGCATTGAATGTAAAGCAAGAAGCTGTGGATGATTATTTAGAGAAACAGTCTGGTGGCTTTATTAAACGAGGATGTGATCCGAAATTGTACGCGTGAATTGTGTGCATGCGCGTCGATTTTTAGTAGAGGCGACGTGTATTCATTGCTGCTTTTTTATTTAGTATGTAAATCTTAATTCGGTTTTTCGTGTTTAGCTGTAAGCATTCTATACGTACATGGCATGTGCGATTACTGCATGTCCTTAGAGGTAAATAGATGTCTTTTTTTTGAGTTGTTACTTGATAACATTAATTCTGTATTGATTTAGCCATACGATGCTAATTATTTGGCAGAAAATCTGATCAAACATATGTTTTTTCATAAATATTTACGAAAAGTGCAAAAAGAGTATGTAGAGGAACCAGATTACCGTTAATAATTAATCAATTCATAAATATATAAAAATTTTTTATTTGTACAGATTTATATATTTTACTTTGCATTTTTTATTATCTGTAATATATTACAAATTAACTTCGGCTGTCTTTATTCCAAGGTCATTCATGATTTTATTCATCTTTGTTTCAGAAATATCGGAGAATCATAGCATGATTTTGCTGAGATAATGCTTTCTCTACAGCACTTTCTATGATCTTAACTAAATCTTCTGGTGATTCATGTTGCATTATAAGTATTTACAAAACTATTATCAACCCGCACGCAAGTCTTCTTTTTTACCATGCCTTCTTAGGGTAATGCAGTTAAGAGCCACATCATCCAACTGATTTGGCAGTTTCTTTTTGATTACTTCTTTCAATTCATCCACATCTTTTCCATCGAAAATAATTTTCACTGGTTGGTTGTCACCGTATTTGACCCAGATTTTAGAAGAGGGTGACGAAGGGTCTATGTGAAATCCCTTAAGACCTATTTTTTCGCAGACCGCAGACGGAAATGAATGACTCCTCCACAAAACAATACCTGTAATAAGTCTACTTTACTACTAGATAGTTCCATTCGCAGGGGAGGAGTATTTTCAATTATTTTGGTACCTTTGTCTTGTGTGTTTGTACCAGATGTGCCAGCAATAGTAGGTGGAACGTCCTCTACAGAAGATATTTTTTTCATTAATTATAATGAGTTGTTTCTTCACAAGTAATGCTCGAAAATACATGTACTTCACTTTTATCTTTTTTTTCTGAGACTTTTTCGACATCGTTTTTGAAGCGTTAATGGCACAACATCATGATGCAAGGTAGTGAATTAAGGATTAAGTCAACTCGGATAATCTTATAATTATCTGGTTTGACTAATACACATGACCTATATCTGTAACGCATTCAATGATTGGCTGAATTCTGCATAACACCATCACTATCTTTTGTTTGTGGTTTGGTCCAGCAGAATTCTGGCTGGTACTCTCAACGAAAAGAAACGCCGAATACTCACTTACAACACCACCGGCGTGAAATCAAATTGGAAACTGATCACTACCTGGAGAAATTCGCAACACCAGCGAAACAAAAATGGTGGCCAAACTCACTCCTAACAACTAACAGCAATGCAGCCAACAAGATATTATAATTCCAAAATCAGAGTATGGCTTATTTATAGTAGAGATCTTCTACTACTTGTACACGAGCTTTGAAGATGATCAAGGGAAAAGATTTGTTACAAGTAAGTATATTTTACAAGTTGGCACTTTTATTAATCAGAGCATCTGCTTTCTCTACTTGAAAGAAGCTTCTTTTATAACAATTCTTTGACTATACTAATTACATTTTTCATATTATAGATTTATAACAATAGAAATAAAAACATCAGTCCAATTATTCACAAGAAAATATTCACTCGCAATTATCAACTCTAAATTATCAGCTGGAAGTTATCAGCTCGATAATGTAAACAATTATCCAAACACGTAAATGTAAAATAGTCCAACAAAGGGGTTTCCTAAAAAGGAACATAATGAAGTGCTAAATGGTCACGAAGGTTAAAATAGCAATAATAAACGATTATCGTAATATGATAATCATGTGAGATGGGGAGCGGGGTGATTCGTAATAAATAATAACATAAATTGTAAAGAATTTATGGAATTAGAGAATTTCGTGTTGCTACGACAACAGTAGTTTCTATTTTTTTAAGTCGGATAACAGAAGATTGCGCAATATTTTCTTTTGATGCGATATAACGGGAAAAGAATCCTTCTTGAAGAAGGACAGAAATTCGTGATCTTTGTTCGATAACGATGTTTATTAAAATAAAATGAAAAACTATACCAATAGGTATAACTTTTATATATTATTCGAGTTGTGTTTTGTTATAGAATTTGGAAATGATATACATTTTTGTAAATTATATGTCCAAAAATAGTGATTAAATGAATTTTTCAAGCCGGCAACAAAATACCGGCGCGACTGGGTTGGAATTTTTACATCGACTAGCCGGCTGAGTCGATGGTCATGTGAATTTCCTTATTTAGGATTTATTTATGTGCTTACCTCAATCGCAGTATTACATTACAGCATTACATTATTAGGGTTAGGGTTAGATTTGAGATCAAGCTTATATATAAAATTGGCTTTCCGACGTTTTTTTGATAATGTGTCAAGCTAGATTTTGATATCTGTTTTTTGTATTTTTCGCATTTTTGTCTTTTCTCATTTTCTTGTGCCGGATTTGTTTTGCCGGGTTGATAAAATATTTGCTACATTCCCATTGGTTGCGCAGAATTTTTGCGCGTTCTTATTGGTTGTATTGGTTTATTATCACGTGACCCGACAGCTTTTTTTTGCCATGGCTAGGGTACTTTATATATACAATCTATATAACGCATTATATAGCGAGATCTGGTTATTGTGAACTTTTAATATAATAAAGAGCATTTGTTTATAACAAATTGTTTATTATAACGATAACGATTTTTTTGAGCTTGAGCCGACCCATCATTATATAGAGACTGTATATTTTACAACATTACCCACCCTGTGAGAACGAAGGCTGACAGTACGCCATAAATAACGAAAATTTTTTTTAAGCAAGTGCACCAGAATTTAAAAATTGGCAAGTATATTCTTTAAATTTTAAAGAAAATTATGTAATTATATTATATCAAATGATAATACGCGAAATATAGTTATTGTTATGAGCAAAAATTATGGCGCGCACTATAGTTTATATATGATCTCTTGTACTATTAATACACAACAAAAAATCGTCTTTTGAATTTCTATCTGTTTTCTTTCTCATTTAGCTATTGTATGTTGAAAAGTCATTATAATAGAAGCAGACTGTATTCTAGAGAGCTGCATCAGCATCATTATTACCCTTCTATTCGATGGTAACAGAAGTTGTAGGTAATTGTGTGATACCGTCATTCTTTCCCTTTTGAATTCCTGCTCCCTCCGTAGACGCAAACCACGTAGAACTTAAGTCTAGCTGACTAGCGCTCGGGTTATGACTTGCTGGTCTAGATGTACGATCCGCGTCTGTCCATCTACCACCAATTGAACCGGCAATTATACTGGGTACTACAGTTGCTGCCGCAAAGATAGAATGTGATGCTTGAAGACGACCACCACCACGTAATGATTTAAAGAAAATTAATTCGCTTTGTACGTCAGTGACCGCTTTATTCCATGAAGGTTTATCGTTCTGTGTATTTTTCCCGACAGATGAGACGGTATAAATTGAGCCCGATTGAAGTGGTAGTTGTCGTTTAAAGCCAAATGTCGGAGTAGGTATTAACCGGATAATTACACCAAAGGGTATTGATAGAAAACCAAGACAAACAGAGATTGCCCATTGAGGTCCACTCAATGATTGTACTTGGAATGCAGCACCACCCAATTCCACTATTAAAACTTGTCCAACACATATAATTACGAAAATCGCCATGAAAAATCTGTTGGCTAAAATATTTTTAAATATATTAAGTTTATGATCGAGTCGGCGAGAACTAGAAAAAAATAGAAATAAATTCGTTAGGTTATTTAAATATTTGATGACGAATTAAAATTTAACTTACTTGACTTCATTAAATATCTGCAAAAATACGAATGTATTAAAGATCAAAGTTGGCAATTGTTCACGTTCTTCCGTAGTATTATAATTCAAAATGTCATTTCCAGCATACAATAATGTTAGGGTGATCACTAATTGGAAAATACTTTGACCAATGATCATCTTCCACATGTTGGCAGATATCAATGGAGCATTACGGGATTCTGGTTCACGATTCAATAGTTCTTCTGTTGGTGGATCAGTGGCAAGTGCTAAAGCAGCTAAAGTGTCCATAATAAGATTTACCCATAAAAGTTGCACTGCCGATAATACTGAAATTTCCTCGTCGCTTGAAACAGCCGAAATAAAAGTCAAGAAAACTGCGGTGACGTTTACCGTCAATTGAAATTGCAAAAACTTTTTCACTGAATCATTTACACTTCTGCCCCACATAATAGCCTTTACAATACTCGAGAAATTATCATCCATTAGAATAATTGAAGAAGCTTCTTTAGCGACTTCTGTACCAGAAATACCCATCGAGAATCCTACATCTGCAGTTTTTAATGCAGGGCCATCATTAGTACCATCCCCAGTTACTGCTACAATACGACCAAGCTCTTTTAGCTTTGCGACAAGGATTCTTTTATCTTCGGGACTTGATCTAGCAAGGACTGTAAGCCTTGGGATCATTTTGTCCATTTCTTGTGGTGATAAATTACGGAATCGTGGTCCTTCCATCACTGTATCTCCTAGTTTATATATGCCGCATTGCGTTGCAATAGATTTAGCCGTTAGAACATTATCACCAGTGACCATTACTACCGACACTCCAGCTTTTTGACATTTTTGAACCGCCTCACGAACACCATTTCTGAGCGGATCTTCAATACCAACGATTCCCAAAAGTATAATTTTGTCTACTAATTCTTCAAACGCCACATCTCCTTCTTCATTAACGTTCATAGTTTTTGGAGGCCATTCTTCAAAATCCTGATAACCTAATGCTATTGTTCTTAATGTTTGGCTTGCGTATCTTACAATCACGCGTTGGATAATATTTAAATGCTCAGGTAATAATTTAATAGTTGGTAATTCTGCGTTATTTGTGGAATCCGTAACTACTATAGATTCTGCTTGTCTAACTAATACTTCGCTAGCTCCTTTCACATAAAATCTATATTTTGAATCTGATAATTTAACAACTACAGCCATAGATTTTCGATCCGAACTGAACGGAAAGACTTGCACTATTTCGGCATCACGCCTTAATTCTTTATAGCCAGTCAGACCCAAGTCTAGTAGAAAGCTTAATAAAGCTGTCTCGGTTTTTGACCCAATAAATGTTGGTTGACCATCATCATCCACACTTTCAAAAGCAGTGGAATTAATTGCAATGGAGTGCTTCAAGGTATCGATTAAGCGAGGCGGAAGTGTTCCTGGTAAATCAGACATTGGAATAGGATTTGAATTTTCAGTGTTAGCGTCTGCTTGATATGATTCGTGATCTTTGATGAACGCAGTCGAAATTCCAATAGTAGCGGCGACAACTGTCATCTTATTTTGTGTAAGTGTTCCCGTTTTGTCGGAGCAAATAGTGTTTGCATTTCCCATCGTTTCACACGCAGATAAAACACGCACAAGATTATTATCCTTTAACATACGGGTTGTAGCATACGCGAGAGCTAATCATATATAAAAATGAATTAATTAAAAGATTATACGTGAGCTAGATAGTAAAAAATGCACACCTAGAGTTACTGCCAAAGGCAATCCTTCGGGTACTGCCACGACGACTACAGTCACTGTTGAAATAATAATTCTGACTAAATGCTCGATAGCTTGAGCTGCGCCTGGTACACCATTTCGGAAGTTCACAAAGTATTTGATTAATAACACTATAAGCATCAGTAAAGCAGCAGCTCCTCCCAATTTCGAAATTGTTTCTGCTAATACATTTAATTTTTCCTGAAGTGGTGTTTCGTCCGTATCAGTTCTTAGAGCTTTAAATAAAAATAAATTAATGCAAACTTTAAAAATAATAATTCATCAGAAAACAAAATAGACGAATACCCATTAAGATTCGCCCATAGAATGAATTTGGTCCGACAGCAGTTACGACATATTTTCCAACTCCTTCCAGCACTTTACTACCGCTTATTAGAAAAGGATCAGCTTTCGAGTGACGTACATCGCTCGTAGGTTCTTGATCAGATAAATCCTTTAGACAGTCTTCATATCTTAATTTTCTTACTGCATCACTTTCACCTGTCGCAGCTGATTCGTCGCAACGTAAATTATGACCAGATATAAGGACCCCATCTACTGCAATAATATCACCTGGCTCTATATCTAAAATATCACCAACTAAAACATCATGTACCGAGATAAGAGCTTCCTTTCCATTGCGTGTCACTTTGACATTACGATCTTCTTTTTTTGCATTTAAGCGTTGAAATTGTTTTTCTTTTTGCCAATCATTTATACTGCCAACCATTACTACAATAAAAATAGCAAAGATAATAGCAACGCCTTCCACCCAACTGATTTTCGGTTCATCAGTTTCCGTACTTTTTGAATTAGGGGCAAAATCCTCGTACAAACCTAACCCTAATGATATGAATGCGGCAACAGTTAAGATTATCTAATATATGAGGATAATTATTAGATAAGAATGATAATTGATGTCTTGCTTGTGAAAACTAAAATAGCTATTTACTTACCAACATTTTATCTTTCATTGCAATCCACATCAATTCAAATATAGTTTTCGTCCTTTTCGTTTGTAATACATTAATGCCAAAAACGCGTTTTCGTTGCGAAAATGGAGCCCCATCTTTTGTTAATTCAGCGTTAGCTAATGCTGCCTTTTTAGCTTTTTTCGATTGTCTTTTATGTTTTTCGACTGAAACTTCAACAGAATCTTTTTGTTCAAAATGCCATAGATCACTGTCACCGCCAGCATCTCTATTTAAAATGTTATCAGGTTTTATAGGTGGTAGCGGGGCTTTTTCATCACTGCTTAGACCGAAATCAGGATCAGTATGTAAACCTTTTAGTAAGCCTTTAACGCCACCAAATTTTTGTAGTAGTGTCACATTTTTTGGATCAATCAATTGAGAGAGTATTGAAGGAATGAATGGAAATGGGTTTTCCGTATAAATTTCTGTTATTTCTCCTCGCTCTTCTCTTGAGATTGTATGATCAGTTTTATCGACTTGCATATTTGTCTTTTTAGTTTTTCTTCCTGCTTAGTTGAAAAAGTGGTCGAATAAGAATAATCTTAGGAGAACTGGATGTTTGTTTTTTGCTTAAAGGTGTATTCTCTAAAGAGCTGTTGTTGAAGGTGGTAATTTTGGTTACTATGGTTGAACTTGACTTGAAGATGAGGTGGTAGTTGTTATTATGGTTGAACCTTGATTCGAGAAGAGATGAATGTTATGGATGTTGGCAAATTAGTGAATATGTTTTTATTATATTATGTATCGGTGATTAGCAAGTTCCCGGGGGATATTTTTAATCCGGAAGCTTATTAAAACTAAATTTTATCAAGATCTGAAATTTAAGGTATTTTCACATAATAAAGATTTAAACCAACTCGTGAGGTAGATTAAATTTTGTATTTGCATCAAACAAATCAAATCTAGTTTCAAAGTCCAATAAATTTTTCCTCATAGACGGCAAGTAGTGAGAGAAAAGACGAGGATAAGGATAATAACTGAGAAGGATTTTAGATATTTATGCCTTTATTCAGGAAAAGTAGAGAAAAGTCCTCTCCGAAGCTATGCGATGGCGCAAAGCGCGTGTAAGAATCGAACTTTCTTTTAGCCAGCACTATCCTACATTGTACACGTGTGTGCCATCTCATAAATAACAGGATAATGATCAATTTTAAATGAGGTAACTTTTGTTATGAGTAATCAAAAGATTCTTGAGAATAATTCGATTAATGCCAGTTATGGCATGGTTTCTTTGGCAATTATTTTAGATAGCGATATTGCACTTTTTTACTATCGCGTTAGAGATTTGTCTATATTATAAAAAACGGAGATAAATCGAAGTTTTTAGTGCAAATCGATATCAATATCGATATGCAAGACAAATTTTTTTTGTGAAACATGTAAGCAAATTAAATGATCAAATCAACTTCTATCAGAATTTTCGGTTTCGGTTTAGAAGTTTCGAGAACACTAAGATAAAGCAACGTCAAAGTGATTGATGTATATTATTGGCGTTTCGATTTTTTTTGCAGACGAGAAATTCCTTTGATATAACAAGGATTTTTAGGGTACAAATGAGCCAACAAATTGAAAGCTTTGAGAGCGAAGCGTGTTTGAAATAAATAACAAAATAAATAAATTTACAATTGGAAGCATTTGTTTGATTACAAATCTTTGTCATGTGTGTTGGAAAAATTGGAAAATTCTACAGACTAATAAAGAAAATAAGCTTTCATATGTTTCGTTAGCACGTTTTGACTGCTACACTTGCACTTGTTCTCATTATATGGATGAACTAATTGAAACGTTGAGCAATAAAATTGCTGTAGTAACAGTTTGCACTTTTAAAACTTTTATGTGTTGAACTATTAAAAATAATTAAATCAATTTTCGAGTTTTATATTTTAGATTAATGCGTAAAAAGATACTCTTTCTGCCTACTTGATTGTTTAAGTACAATGACAAAAAAGCATAAGATTTGTTAGCAATTGAATTTCGTTCTATAATACGACTATACAATAGTCATGCTTTTATCATTGATTTAATTTTTATTGACTTTATATTATTGCATTAAACTATGATATAATCGAAACAGTTTAGCGACCTACATCTTTTGGAGAATTTTGAATTAGGAGCTATAAAACAAAATCCGAAACTAGTTTTCGTCCGAAACATTAATTTGTTATTTATGGAGATTATTCAAAGTACACTAATTGCATTGCTACAAAAGTATTTGAACAATATACCTACAGTTTAATGGCGGTGAGATTGTTACTATTGTTACCGCCGGCGAACAAATTTCTCCGATTCCAGCTTTTCAGGGTAAAACGACAGATGAACCGTGAATGTCGCTAACGCCGGACAAATGTACCTATATACAACGTTGTTAAATTTCAAATCCGGTAGATTTTTCAGCGTTGTTGCAGCAAATTCCCATCACGATTGTCAACAAAAGCTGCAGATTTCCAGATTCGGTAGATTTTTCAGCAAAAGCAGCAACAAATTCCCATCACAATTATCAACAATGATGCAGACTTCCCGAACCGGTAAATTTACAAGATAATAGCAAAATTTCCATCCCAGTCACAACGCTGCTGCTGTAGATATTTCAGCAAAATAGCAGCATAATTGTGAATTCCCTTGACGTGCAGATAAAAACAACAAGCTTCCCTTTTTGGTATACATCACGAAGCTACGACATTCTCCGCGCCTTTTTCGACAATTCGCAGCATTTGTCATCATTTTCAGCGTCTTCTTTAGCATTTGTCATCGCCTTACGGCATCTTTCAGCATCTCCTCATCATTTTTAGCATCTTCTCATCATTCTTCAGCATATTTTCATCAGTTTTCGATTCGTTTACATAAGTTTCTTTCGTAGACATTGAAGTGTCCATTATAAACATTTTTATTAATAGCTAAAGTAATATTAAAAGTAATAAATGTCATAATACAAAAAAAACGGCCTACGGGCTACTAATAAAGAACAGAATAAAATTCTTCTCCAAACAAAATACAGCTTGAATCTTTGCGTACAACTATTCTTAAAAGTGAATTATTGCTTGTAAAACTCTTCCCCCTTTTCCCCGCGTTAATTGTGATATCGTATTGCTTGTTGGTTAGATCCTTTGTACCAGAAAAGGCGTATTTTGTGTAGAATCGATTGTTAATGAAAAACCGTTTTGTGTGATCATAATTATCATTATTAATTTTAAGAGTTTAAGGCTTTTGTCTATAAAAAGCAATAGTTAAGGAATCCTCTGAACACTCACCTGAAACATATAGTCTCTTCCCCCCCAAATTAACATAATCAACGATATCCGTAGATATCTAGATACCAAAACGAATTTTGCTCAGTCTCCCCCAAAAGTCTTGTTGCGGTATAAAACCCAAATTCGCCCAAACAAAACAAAACCGCAACACTATAATGCTAACTTTTTTTATAGAAGCAAATATATAAAGATAATAACAAATAAAAATGTGATGAATTTGCGAAAATCTAATAAGAGCGCATCATGGCAAGTCATTTTCCCGATTGCAAGTTTGTAAAATTTTCAAAACTTATCTTCTCAATAACCAGTGATCAGAAGTTTATAGTTTGGTTTTATTAAATTCGTCCCAATAAGACGAACATTTTGGTAGTAGTTTCATTTTAATCAGAATAATATCATTGAATTATTTAGTTAAAAAACGTTCAAGTTACAAAATTTTTAGACATTAAATTTTATTTAAACTTGCATTGACCCGGAAAGAGATCACACATCAAGTACTGATATGGTGCTCTACTCAAAGGTACTGTCAAAATAATTTTTTTATTCTATTATATAATTGAATGAAATATAGTAAAAAAAACTGGCCGCCATTACTTTCCGCCAGAACTGTAATTCAGCTTTACGAAAAAAACCAAGACTCTTTTGAGTCTTATGATCAACGTAATGATGAAAGCCTTAATGATGGTGGACTTCTTAAAATTTCATTGGCATTAATGTTATTTGACGATGACGAAACCTTTCTTGGAAAACGTCTGTGACGAATGACGAAACCTTCTGACCAATAAAATACTACGTAGTTAATGCTTGACGATGATAAATGTGCAAAATGCATACATGTATTTAATTACACCAATACGTAGTTTGGAAACCTATAACGAGAAGAATACTAATAATGAATTATATTGCCCACTGTTTCGATGTTTTGTGCAAGAGAAATTATTTTGCAACTAATTCGTATTAGAAACATCAATAAAAGAAATGCCAACAGAATAATCGCTGTGATGGTAATGACTGCATTTCCACCAAAAAATCATAAATTATTAACTTGTTATAATGAGCAAGTCTTCTATGATCATTGTTAAAGTTAAGTGATTGAAACAAAATTTATTTGATCCAAAAATAATTGATATGATAAACGGAAGAAATGAATCAGTTAAAAATCAAATGATGTTTTAAGGTCGCTTTGGAAATCGTTTGAATTGCTATAACTTAAAGAAGAGAACGATTAAAAAACTTCCTGCCTCATCAAATGACAACAATAAACGGTATGATAAAATGTTAATAATGATTAAAATACACGTATGCATGTTAATTTTGAAATTATTCTTGAAATACCAGCTTAGCAGTGTTGTAAATCATCTATAAATTATATACCGATACATTTATATTTCTTAATAAAATTTTTCCTCGTTCGCGCATATGAGAATAAATAAAAATTCTTGAAATATAATTCTAATAAGTTGAAGTAGAAAACAAAACTCTATTCATCATGAGAATTTAACTCGGCGAGTTTAGCAAAAGCGTCCCGATATAACCTGTTTGCATTTCCCCAAACTTCCTTTCCGATCGCTGCGAATTTCCCCCATAATCTTGCAGGAATTCTTTTCTTATAAACTTCGTTCTCAAATGCAAGTCGAAACAACCCAAATTCGCTTTCATCGATTTGACCGTCAACCAAATATTTCTGCAGAGAACTGTTTCCCGTTTTTATCTCCAAGAGTTCTTTGAGTGTTGGCACCAGGATGTCAATGGTTAGGTCATCCGAGAATTTTGCTGTCGCTTATAGAGTTTTCGGCTCAGAACTGCTGTTAAGATTGTGGCTGTTACACATCGACCGTTCACCATTTGAAGTAGTTTTATTATAAGGATGATTTTGGATCGTTTGCGTTGTTGCGAGAGGAGGCATTTTTAGAGGAGGCGAATTGGTTTACGACTTGTACGGGAGAGTGTGTATTGGTTTCTGAAAACAAATTATGGGACAAGGGAAAAAGTATATTGTTATTTACTTTAATGATAAAATACGAAGCGGTTTTTATAAGTTTCGGGAAGTAATTTTTTTGTATTTTTATGGTAAAGCCGTTCCTTTACATGCAATTATGTATTTGTTATATGGTGGTCGCAACCTCCAGTTGAAGAACAGTCGGATTCAAAGCAAGTTTAGCATCACTTTTATACTTTTTATCGTTGTTGTATGATACATTATTATCATCTTATATATTTATATGTGTATATATATACAGTGGCTCACACATGTAACCGAACACGAAAATTAACTTTCTAGCATTTTAAAATATTAGAGGTTTCAGGGTTTCAAATGAACACTTTTTATTTTGTCCAAACTAATAGTCATGGAAATAAAAATTCTAGAAAGGTACTTTTCGTGTTCGGTTACATGTGTGAGCCACTGTATATATACATGTATATCGATATATATTATATTTATCCAACTACACGTAAACCCGATGGGATCCAAAAAAGGGTGTGATCGTCTAAATTTCTCAGTGTCGGTCTACTACCAACCACGTGTCTGGTTTAAATTTCTCAGCCAACCACACGTGTCTGGTTTAAGTTTCTCGGTGATCGTTTAAATATTGTTAATAGTTAGAATAGCGTAATTATAATTTATGCAAATTTTTGATCAGCCCGGCAAAACATGAAAAATAACGGAAAATAGATGCCTAAATCTATTTGGTATAATAATAAAAAATGTCGATGAGGCAATTTTATATATATAATCTTGATCTCAACTCTAGCACTGACCCCAACCCTAAGCTTAAAATCAATCTTTAATTACATAGTAAATATATCACGTGATGTACTGGCTTTAGCCATCCCCCTAATAGAAAAACAAATCCGGCACAAGAAAATGAGAAAAGACAAAAAATGCGAAAAATACAAAAAACAGATGTCGGGGGGGGGGGGCGAATTTTATATATAACCTTAACCTCAGCTCTAACCCTAACCCTAACCCTAATCCTAATAATATCAATCGGATATTTTAATGAGCCTATTTCAGATCACATGACCCAACACTTTTTTTGCCGTGGCTAGAGTATCATTCGTCTGACGAATGACGTGACGAAATGTTTCGTCATGAAAATAGTTTCGTCAGGTAACATTAATTGGCACCACGCATCTATAGTCTCCACGCACTGCAGTAATTATTGCACCATCTGAAAATTTTTGTACAATTCATTTAAAATAATTTTTACAGCAGATTATTTTTAGCCCTGAAATGATTTACATTAAAATTTTAATAGCAAATTTTGATCTATTGAAACTTTTTTAAAACACATCTGGGGTCAAGAATAAAAATGATAAAGATTCAATTAATAATATGTGTCTTGTTGAATTTCGAAAACTCTTCCCTCTCTAGTCAATGTTTGACTTATATGAAAAACCCTCTTTAGCCAAATTGTAACTGGGTCAAATGGTTAAAGAGAATTTTTGTTTTATATATAGAACACGAGTATAACTACATGTATTTAAAAATCTAACCTGAGTGGATGATTTATGCTGTCCCCCACTGTACATGGCTCCATAGAAGTTATAATGTAACAACATACATCGATATATTCTAATACGTATTTGTAGTACACAGTCACTCTCTTTATAGGGTAAAAGCTCAGAAATTATCCACTATAACAAATTATCCACTGTATAGAAAGACTTTTTTCTGTAACAAGCCCCACTATATCGAGAAAGAGCCTCAACTATAAAGAAAATTATTATACTACTATCTATATATGTACACATCAATAACTATGACACATTAGGAAATACATGTAGATGCTTCTCTTAATGAACATGTATACACTTAAAGCTCCACTATTGCTATCGCTGTGTCGAGAAAGAGCTATAAAGAAATTTACTGTGTATACTATTGTATATGTACGCATCAATAACGATAATATGACACATTAGGAAAAATAGTCTTCCCTTAATGTTCATACTAATACCGATACACTCAACGTTAACGTTAAAATTTGTGTGTAGAATGATGATCAATTACTATATATAGATATCGATATGGTCGATGTTTGTCTAAACATATTTTGTATTATCAGCCAATGAAAAACAGATTGGTTTTCATAGTTCATTTAAGGTATAAAAGAATAGCGATAGCTCCAAACACAAATCAAACGATACATATCGATATTCTAATAAAGTTTATTAAACAACAAAAGAACAAACATGTCAGTCAACTCCCGAAATCTCTTTTTCCTTTCTATATTGGTCGTTTTTTCATTGTTCAGTGCTCTCGAAGCATTCAATGTTCGTCGTGCCCCAGGTAATATATAGCGCTTAAAATTCGCGTTTTAATTTGCCTAACAGAATTTTGTATTTGTGCAGACCTCGGTGGTGGTTCTTGTAAAGAGTGTGTACTATGTCCTGATGTTGTTGTTGAATGCCGTCCCGATTCATGTCCTGGTCAAAGATGTTTGGTTATACCACGATATTGCTGTGAATGTGCTAGAATTTACTGTTACTAAGCGATAAAAACATTTAATATACCTACATGTATCAATGACCATAGATAATTATTAATTTAAATATACTACTATCTATGTTTAAAGAGATTTGAATTGTTGAATAGTGAAGTACACTTCAATAGTAGCAAACTGTTTCCATAAGCTAAATATAAATAATATCACAAAAACTTAAGAGCTTATACATGTATCTAGTTAATCTGGCATTGAAAGCCAGATATTTGTGTGGACTTGGACGAAAGCATCTCCGATTCAAGAAATAGCTCTAGTAAAATTCTAATGCATCTGGGCCTCGAATCATTTTGTCGCAGCCATAAGGCGACCACATCTCTTGACCACCCGTGCCAACTGGTATTTCATATATCACCTTTAAGCATAATTTTAACATGAATTGTTGATAAGAGTTTATTAGATGAAATCTTGGAGTTTCAAGTAATAAAATGTGCATAAAAATTCTTTACGCTGGTATTGTGAGTTAAGACTAAGTATTCCATCGATTTTTTTTACAAAGAACAGCCTCAACTTCGGGATAAATTATGATGTTCTATAGCATTTATGTTAATGCAGAATGAAATAAAATATTTATACATGTAGTAATAAAAAACAAATAATTTATAAACTGTTGTGTCCCTCTTGAAATTAAAATTCGCGATCATCTTCAATTCTCGCTTTTTATATGCAATCGGATAATATTGCAAATTGGTGTGTTTTGAATTTTAGATTTCAGATTCTTTGTTAAAGTAAAATAATTTTTCAAAAAAACTTATTAGTAAATATTAAAAATGCATCAGCAGTAGGCACGTTATCAGTTGATTTACTCTACTTAAATTGCCAATTTTTGACATAATTATTTTTTTGAGCTTCTAAGCAAAATTAATTAACGTGAAATTTAAAGATAAGTTACTTATTACAAAAAATATAATTATTTTGATAAAAAATGAGTAATTTCATTTAAACCATTGAAATTGAGATTATATTTTTTATAGTTACTAATCAAAATTATAAATTATATTATTATCATTATAGATTAAATTTTATAAAAATAGTTAGCAATTTTACTTAAAACCACATAAACTGCAAAACATCCCTAATCAGCAGCATTCGATATCGATATATAAACAAATTTATAAAGATGGATGGTCTAGCGAAGTAAAGTCTAGGATAAACCAAATGCGTGAACATATATTGTTTTATACACAATAATTCTTGGTAAAGTAATTGTTAAGCTAGTCGATTTTTAGAAATGACAATTTCGATATTTTACATTTTCTTTTTTTTTCTTTAAAAAAAATAAATTTTTTGTATAAATAAAATCCTTACTATTTACTGCCTCCTCGAGTAAAATAAAACATTTTTGCCTCAACCAACCATTTGACCACATAATTGCAACTAATTATGACACCCATCTTTTAGGATAGGTAATTCAGTACGGAAAAACAGATACAGTACATGTAAATTGTATAGGTTACAATACAACAATATACAGTAAACACATCAATATATTTCAATACGCCTTTGTACCAGTACACAGTCACTCTATAGAGTAAAATCTCAGAAATTATCCACTATAACGAGTTATCCACTACATATATAAAAGAAATTTACTGTGTATACATGTATATGTACGCATCAGGAAAAAGATGCTTCCCTTACAATGGGAACACCAAAAGCATCCAATCAAATGGGATATTTAAATGGTTATATCTTAACGTTAATCTATACATGAAAAATCCTCTTTATCGTATCGTCATACAAATTGTCCAGCTACAATTATATAAAGAGGATTTTTCATATAAAATCAAGAGATACCGATACTGTATAACGATAAACATTTAAATATCCATGGATTTTGGTAATACCGATACGTATCATACACTTGTAGGTTTTATTTGTGTAATGATGATCAATTACTCTATATGTTTGTCCCCGCTCAGCCCGTTCTATATTTGATATTATTAGCCAATGAAAACAAAGATTGGTTTTCATAGTCATTTAAGATATAAAAGAATAGCGCAAGCGATAACAATATTGAAAGTTAAATTCTCCAAACACAAATCAAACGATACATATCGATATTCTAATAAAGTGTACTAAATAACAAAAGAACAAACATGTCAGTCAACTCCCGAAATCTTCCTTTTTATATTGGTCGTTTTTTCATTGTTCAGTGCTCTCGAAGCATTCCATGTTCGTCGTGCTTCAGGTAATATATAGCGCTTAAAGGATTCGCGTTCTAATTCTTGCCTAAAAAAATTGTGTATTTGTGCAGACTTTGATTATTGTAGACTTTATCCACAAGCATGCGGTGACTTTTGTAAATATTATCCACAATTATGCGGCGGCGATGGTGGTAGTTGTGCAGATTGTATTCCCTTTCATGGTGAATGTGGTCCCGATTCATGTAAACCTGGTCAAACTTGTTCCGTCACACAACCTTTTTGCAGTACGTGTGGTGGAATTCACTGTACTTAAGTTATGAAAACATTTAATATACCTAAATATATCAATAACAATAAATATTCAAATTTATTCATTAACTTAAATATACTATTATCTATATTTGAATATTTGAACATTGAAGTAAGCTTCAACGGTAGCAAACTGTTGCCATAAGATAAATATCACAAAATATCACAAAATCTTAATAGTTTATACATGTAGCCCTGTATTGAAAGCAAGATACATGTATTTGTGTAAATCATCTCCGATTCAAGAAATCTGTCTAGTCGAAATTCTAAAGCATCTGAGCCTCGAATCATTCTGTCGCGGTCCATCGTAGAGACTGGACTCGTGTCAATGTGGTGGGTCAACCCGTCGGTTAGTTCCATCCGCTAGGTCAATCTAATTCTTTATTATTATTATGTTCAGAATCCGAATTTGTTTGATCTATCGCAAAATGTAATATGTTCGACTTTGATAAGTCATTTGATCTTTTTCTCATGAATTATTTCCATAAAGTTCAAATTTGTTAGTAAAAATTTTTAAATTCTATTTATATGAAATCATTTTCAAAATCGATTTGTCCGACGATGTGTACTACATGTAATAACGATAAGGATGACATCAACTTCCTACGCCTATCTATTCTTTCAGACATGGATAGAAATAACGAATATACCTCCGATATCGACGCAAATATTGTTTTATAAATTATAAAATTTGATTACATATAACTTTTAAACACATCTCCCTGAATCATGCAAAAATAAAAAAAAATATATATTTTTTTTTAGTATAACCTGCATAACGAACCCTAATTCTAATGCACAGTATAGTTTCTAAAACATGGCTTTTCATATTACGTACTGGCCAATTTCATGGCAAGTTCGATCAATTTCTAATGGAAAATTGATCGACAAAATAAGGTTAAGGCGCGATATCTCAACATCCAGCGATCCGATTCGTCTTGACTAGACAAATCACTGAACATCAAAGGTATTGATAAGGCATTGAAGATCAGCATTTGTGTTACTCTTCACGTGGTAAAAGTTTCAGCTAATTATCGTTATGTCTCCTACTATAATGGGTAAAATCCTTACACCGGTTTCAACCGTCAAGTTATCCGGGTTGCGTTCTTTAGACGGGTCCAATCTCTAGTCCATTGCACAAGGTGACCACATTACTTGACCACCGCGCTAACTGGTATTCCATATACATGTATCATCTTTAAGCATGAATGAATTATTAATAAGAGTTTACTGGATGAATTTAGTGTTTCAAGAAATAAAGCGCTTATGCCTCGAAATTTCTTAGATTTCTTTGCAAAGAGCAGCCTCAACTTCGGGATAAATCATGCAATGTTCTATAGCATTCATGTTAATAAAAAATGCATTTTAAAAAATGTAAATTCGCGGTCATCTTCAAATATCGTTTATTATACGTAATCGAAGACTATCGCAAATTGGTGTGTGTTTTTGAATTTAAATTTACAGGTTCTTCGTTAAAGCAAAATAAATTTTCAAATAAACCCAGTAAGGTTTTTGAAAACGCATCAATTGTGAATTTGAAGAATGGCAAATTATATATTTCACCCTTTCAGCGGCATTCGATAACAGATCCAAAAATATTTTGGCCTCATTCTCAAATGCAATAGGAATAATATTATAAAAGCTTTTGCTGGAACTTCTAATTGAATGTATTATTGATTAATTTCAGGAGAAAAGCAAACATGTTTATCGTACTAATACTTTTTGGCTTCTTCTCATCCTCAGCCTTTAGCCAAGAGAATAAATGAGTACCGATCTGGGGAGAATAAAGTAGAATCATTAGCGTGAAAATCAACACAAAAACAACGTAATTTACCAAATTGGTCCATATAATATTGTTTTGACGCATTTTTATGGTACCTGCTATCGATGGAAACACATGTCAAAGAACAATCATATGTTGATATCGTTTTTGTAACTCGTATTTTTTCTTATTACAAGTACATAACAGGATTTACGGGATTTCTCACTAATTACGTAGTTTGTCCGAATAAGTTTTTTTATCACAAAATTGGTTTATTCAATTAGCCATAGCGATAGATTAACGTTAACAGACAAATCTAAACAATTTATTTATATCGATATTATTTTGCTTCGTCATATTTTTTGAATACAGTATGCAAATTTAAAGTTAATCATCACATCTTATTAAATTCTATTTTCCATTTGTAATCAACTTTTGATATTTGACTAGCAAAATACATGTACATGATTGTAAAAAAAGATAACAATAGTAAGAGACAGTTAACTTATTGTCGTTGCTTTTTTTAAACAACAAATTGTCATTAGATTACCTTAACGTTAACACGATTACCTCTTAATAAGGGTTATTAATAGATATTTCTATTGGTTTCATAATGATTTTTTCCTTATCGTTATCTTCTGAAATAAGAACCACACACATAAAATGTACTGAACCATGTACATGTACATGTACATAGCGATACATGTACGTAGTTTCTGTGTAACTAAAACATGCATTATTTTGTATAAGGAAACCATATTCGTCTGGATTTGGTTATTTGAATGGTAGCGGTAGCTACAAACGGTGTAATTCATAGTTAAAGCTGTGAAAAGATTTTAACGTCATGTTCATTATTTTGTTTTATAAATTTTTAGATTAATTTTCTTTTATTGAATTTTACATATTTCTGTGACATTCTAACTTAAACACAACGACAAAGGGATGCCGTAGAGCACTGCATATAGTACTCGGAGTCTTATTCGAAATGCTTGTTTTGAAATTGAATAGTTACCTGGTGCTATAGTGATTTCATTGGTGAAGAAGAAGGGTACTTTATGAGAAGGTACTATATAATGGGGTGCTATACAGTATTTGAAAAGTTTTATGAAAAGTAATCATTTCATTGAAATCTTCTTTGGTACATTATGTAAGAGTGTTTAACGAGTTATATAATTGTCATACGCTAACCGCTATGGTAAATTATAACGCTATAATTGTATCATTTTTTTTCTGTATATATAGTAGATTTTCGGAATCTTGATTTGTCCATATTTGGATTCGTGATGATGAGTGATAATGAACCTGAATTGTTTGATAATTATATGACTATCGCTATATTTTTCTTATACTGACAAATAAAATCAACAACGAATGATAAACTCTATTTCCATTCGGCATCTTTTAATTGGATAACGATAATATCTGGGGAAAATGATTTACCAATTTAGCATTAAACAAACAAGATACAGTATACCGATACGTAAATTTACGTATTCGAAAATCAAACGCCACATAAAATTAGGTTTTGAAAAGCTAAGCTTTCTTATTGTGGAATCAAAATTTGTGTCCTGACCTTTTTGTGCTTGGAAATAATTCTTTGCTTCTTGCCTTTACCAAGAGGATTGATGTAAAGCACTCTTCATATGCTTGTCCTAATACGTAACAATAATTATGAGCATGCATGAATAATAAATTAAAGGGATGATTGTTCATTCAACAATGGTGGGCCACATAACGTCCAAATTTAGAAGTCCTATTGACAAGCATTTCGCTAAAAATAACGATATGATTCGAAAAAAAATTAAGTCACACACAGCCACTTAATAATAATCTGTTATTGGTTACTTGATCCATTATGGAAAATATTAAATTTAGGTTTTAATGTTAACGCTATTCACAAGCAGTAAGATTCACATACATATACGTATACAATTTAATGAGATTGACTATCGCTATAAAATTGATTTGTTATGATATCGATATATATCGATAAAAGCAACATCTCCTGTTCTGAATTTATACTAAATGCATTTTTGTTATATTCAATAACATAGATAATGTGTGATATTTCCTTAATCTTTAGATTCGTATCCCGATTAAATGGGTGAATAATAATGATTCAATAGCGGATGGTAGTGGCAAACAGAACATAGAACACCAAAATACATACAAGTGCGTACGATAGTTGAATGAAATTAGGAATTATTGTGCCGATCATTATATTTTGGCAATATTATAAATATACAGAAAACGCCAAGCCATTGTGAATGAACCATTTTTTTATGAACAACAAGCTCATTATTCAGAAGAAAAATAAAGGTTCCTCGTTACTTTTCCAAATATAATTTTTATTTTCTCGACACAAGTTCCTGGTAAATTTTAAAATTAAAAGAACATCCATCCTCATCTGTTCTGACAACGACATTTATCAACGTTGACAGCGTTTTAAATATTTAGTGAAATTCGAGTCAACCTTAGTGAATAAAAATGAACTTCTCATCACTATTAGGAAACAATACGAAACAAAATTTGAGTTCCGAAATAATTTCAAAAACGAACGAGGTATGTTTTTAACACGTTTGATGATGGCGACTACAATCAATATCACTGACGATTAAATACATGCAACGCACAAATATAGGTGCTAGAAGCATATAAAATTGCCAGAGATGTATATAAACAAGCTGGGAAAGCACTTCGCAATGCAGCAACAAAAGTCGATGAACTTAGTCAACTTCTTCCCGATGACATGTGCATTCAATTACCCAAAGAATTACTATACGGACTACCGTCTTCAAAAAAGCTGTCAGCTCAAACTCCATCTTTTCACAAAACTAATACCGCTTTTTCGCTGCCATTCGTAAGGAAACGAGGGAAAAAATCACGTCGCCACCGTCGTCGTCAACTAACGAAAAATATGCGAACTTCAATAATTGAGTCGGAAGCTGACGAGTTTGATGATATTATGTCTGATTATCACAAAGACTCTTCAAGCAATGAAATGGAACTATCCGATTTAGAATATATCGATGGTAGCGAGGAGGAAAAAAGCGAGTCGTCAATATCGCAAACTTTGACAATTGATAGAGATATTCTACCAATGATTGCATCAGAAATCGATTCGAAGACAGATGAATCTAAGAAACGTACACTTGAACCACCAACTAGCAATTTTACTACACCGAATTTGAGATTAGATATTTCTTATGGTTTAACTTCGTCGAGACCAAAATCATCCGAATTACCGAAATGTGATTATTATATGATAGATATCGATATGACAAATAAACCGGATAAACTTCAGTCAAACGATTCACAGTTATCACCACCAATTTCGGAAAATTCATCCCAAATGTTACCGAAAATGAAAGATCGGAAAAATGCATTATATGTGAATGAACTCAATGTTGTGAAAAAAAGATCCGGGTCAGCAACTAATAAATTCAATGCTCTAACAAAACCACGTCAAGGCGCTTCAAATAAAGTGAAACGTCGATATGATCCTTATCCGAGTTCACGAAAACAATCTTTTGAAAATGTAAAATCAACATCAGCCAATATTGGTAATTTTCCCTCGTATCCACATAATATATTTAACGAATCACCATCACATCTCGACTCACCAGAAAATTCGCAAGCCACAAGTCCAACAGCAACTCCAATAACCACACCAACAACCACACCAATAACCACACCAATAACCACACCAACAACCACTACGACAACAACTGGTCCGCATGCGACGCTACATAGCTTTTTTTTAAATGGATTGCCACATCAAAGTGCAGACGCATCAAATTGGTTCCAAGAGGTTACGAAACACACATACACACCTCAACCCTTGTCAGACGAAGATAATGCATTAATTGACGAATTTATAAGATATGCGGGACCTCGTCTAAAGAATCCAAGATGCACCCAGTCGGAAATCGCACGAGAAATTATTTTATTATCAAATAACACGTGCAAAATGTCACAAGGTTCTGTTTCAACTATGATGCGACGTATTTCGGTTCCAAAGCCAGCAACAACCAGAAGAGCAATTCAGAATTGGATTGATAACGAAAAAACAAAAAAAGAACAAGAAAAACTGAATTTGATGTGGAAAACCACAAATAATAACTGGAAATAATTTTTAAGATTATTTGAATATGTCAATACTTTAAAAGTAATGTTATGATGTAAATAAGCCTTCTATTTTCAACTATGCCATCTTATTTTTAAATCAATCTATCGCTAGATTTAGCTTTTTAGTATCATGTATCACGATACATGTATAGAAATTATAATAAAATTATTTTACTAACGCTAACGCTAATTTTTCATTTAACATTCCTTGCTAAAATTAATACATAAAGATCCAAATATTCTTCAATATTATCTACGGGAAAAATGTTAGTGGGGCGTGATTAATAGAGGAGTGGAAGAACAAAAGCAAGAAGATCAAGACGACGACGAAGAAAAGAGGAATGAAGAAGAGTAATATAGTTTACATTGAGCTACCGATAATTTTGAATTACAAGATTTGTTTGTACTTCGTCGATATGTTCATGTAACGGTAATTGTTAACAAATACTTTAGAGTTGTCATTGAACTTAGTCCAGATGCAAATTCTATATATTGGACTGGCTATAAAATTTACAAGTCCAGTAGAATCGATTTTATCGGAGACAGATATTATTGGACCAATTGCGACGAGTAGATTTTACAAGTTGATCGACAGTTGGACTACGCCATCAAACAAATTTCATATAATTTACATAATTTCAAATTGTATCCAGTCTTCCAATTTTGGTAATATTAAAAAAACTAAACCATAGATATGATAGATTAAGTTCTTTTCTTTCAGATTTACAGTTTAATTTTTAAATTATATTATATTTTATATTTTATTAATCTTTAATTTTCAGACGCCGATCAGTCAGCTTTTGACCAATCAGCAATCGTTAAAGTCAAGTTATCATATGACCACGGGTTGTCAAAGCGAGACGAACTCATCATTCTCGGAATGGCTTTTCAATCAACATTAATCAAATCTTTAAATGATTGCTTTTCTAATAATGATAAAATTCTCAGGCATCGCTCGACATTTTTCTTGCAATTTTGCATTTTTCTCTTTCGGGTTTCTTTTTTTTAAAATTTTTTGACGCACGACTCCTATTTTAAAATTCCACAGAAAATTTCGGTAATGTCAAGTTTATGCGCCTCCTTTGAAGTTAAGAATTATATTAACCAATAAAGCTAAAGCATGTGACTAAAGGCACGTGTATATCAGCCAATAAAATTTAATTATGTAAATAAAGCACGTGAAGATCGTCATTTAAAATTTCTGACTGATCTACATTTTTGATGACTATAAATGGTTTGCACCATACCGATACGTATAAATATGAGTTTTACGTATTGGTACTTGTAACGGTAAATCATTTCATGTTCACTTAAATAATGAACTCATTATTACCACCCGAAACACTTTACGAAATATTCAAACACATTTCCCATGATACTTCAACACTCTTTAAATGTCTTTTGATTGATCGTACATTTTGTAGATTTGCTATTCCATATTTATGGCGACAACCATTCAAACGTCCATTAAAAGAACAAAAATTTGATCACTCGCTAGTGGAAACAATTATTTTATCGCTAAACGACAATCATCGAGAATCAGTGTTAAATTTACTCTCCTCATCGAAAACGACTAATTTAACAGCAACGACATTATCTCATTCTCGAGAAGTACTTTTTAAGTACAACACATTCATTACTGAATTGGATACATGGTATCTAGCATTAACTATTGCAAGATGGCATTCGCAGATTTCAACTAGATCTGGTAGATTTATATCGAGCCACATTAAAGATCCACATGTTATGGCGATAATAAACAAACTAGGTCGAGCTTTAATCTCTTCTTCGCCAAATCTTGTTAGTCTATTGATGAATAGTCCAAAGAATACCCAAATTTCTTTGAATTTCTTGAGAAAGAATGACTTATTATCGAATAATTTTGATAGCATAAAGAAAATCAAAGATTACGATTATAGGCCGTCGAAAGTTTTCCCATTTGGAATTCAAAATAGTAGCTTGAAGAATTTGAGTTCGATTGATCTAGAATTTCGACGAAAAGTGAATTACACAGTTTCAATCAACCATTTTCTCCAGTTGATCCAGCAACAGACGCAACTTCAAACTCTTATCATCAGAAACTATTCAATGGTTTATGCAAAACAACCTCTTTATGATGCTTTCTTTACTCAACGAGAGACTTTAACAAGACTCGAATTTCACCGATGCGACTTCAATGCGATATTTGACATCGAAAAACTAGAAATTGAAAAACTTCAAAATTTCAAGCAATTAAATGCTTTGGTGGTATACAATTGTAGACATTTACCACATTTACCAAATTATCAATATGATAGACCACAAAATTATGATGACGCGTCCTCGTACTCTGGATTAAAATTGGAAAAATTCTTCTTATCTTCGTCAAAAACCAATTCAACACGCTCCTATCTTCTACCATTCTTTGAATTTATATCTATTGGTCATCTCCGAGAAATTGTTCTTCCGAAATCATGCTCTATTGGAGAATACGAAATAATTTTACCTTGTGCTTCGAATCTCGTAAAATTATCAATCCACATCGATTTAATTCGTGAAGATCCAGCATTTCAACTGATTTCACTTTGCACCTTTTTAAAAGATTTATCACTTTATCATTCTTCTTACTCGGACAAGAAAATTAACGATGAATTCTTATTGAAATTCAAACGAACTCTTTCTTCAACGTCTCTTCTCATGTCAATCAATCTCGGTTTCAAGTTATTAGGATCCCAACTCGAAGCATTACTTTTCGATTTTCAATTGCCTTATCTTTATAAAATTGGTCTACCTAATGCACCTGTTGCGCGGGAAAAAATTTTAGAATTAATCACCATCGTTGCTACATATGCACGTGCAAAAAATCGGTGTTTACAATTGGGAATAGGGACGGACAGATTTAAAAACGAAATAAAGGACCGGATAAAAAAGACTGGAAATTTCGTTGAAATAGTCGATAGTTTATCATGGTTCGACAATTACGGTGAAAATAATGATGCAGAATTTTGATGAATGAATTAATATTATTTACTATTTTTTTCCGAAGCTCAAAGATCTTTGCATTCGATATATGCCAAAGAAAAAGGTGCTTCCTTACATTTTGAACTTTTTGAAAGAAAATAAAGTATCCAATTCTTTTTAATGTGCAAGAATGAGTTATTTTTGAAAAACTTTATTGTTCCAAAACCTTTTTGCAAAATATTCAGCATTGTAAATCTTCAAAAGGGATCCATTTTAAAGGAGTAAACTTTTAAGTTTTGTATCTTTATTTCACTAGAACATTCAGCTTTATAAATTCATTTTGTGTACAGTATTCGTTTTTTACGATTCCTATTTGTGTAGAGCGATTTCTATGTACATGTATGAAGAACGCATAAAAGAAGCCTTTTATGACGGATGCAATAATAAAAGGTCCTTCTTTTAATACAATATATGTGATAATTTCCTTCTTCGAATTTTATAATGTACAAACTTTGAAATGATGATTCAAATGTGTGGAAATATTGATAGAGTGTGTGTCGTTTTTAAGAGTGAGGGTTGCGTGAAATCACGGATGTAACTGAACTGTTATCTGTTATCATTTCCCTTCATCCAATTCTACGGGATAAATGGTATAATGAACAATCCGATTATAAATTCGATTCCATGATCACTGTCAGGATTTCTAATGTTTTTAGACTCGTAATTAAATCATAATAATAAAATTTAAAATTTAATTACCATTTTATTTTACATTATTCATTGCTTTGTTTATGAATTTGTAGTTTTTCTTGTTAAGTCACTCGATATCTATATACTGAAATCGTTTGTACAAACTGACGCTTGTAGAGCCTAAACATTCGATAGAAATTTTAATTAACGTGAAATGATATATTTAGAAATAAAAAATACCCGTGTCAGTTAGAATTGAAATTAATTTTGAAGTAAAGATTCGATTGGTGTAAATGCATTTGAGTGGATTTTTTGTTTTTTTTTTTGAAAGTGTAGAACAATATAATATTACATGTAAATGTTGCTCTGCAAACCCTTTGTTGTTGCTCTACACTTTAATTAGTGCAATTAGTGTAAACCAATACTACATATATAGAGCAACACATGGGGTTTGTCGCACAGAACAACACATTTAATGTGTTGTTTTACACTTTTCGAAAACTTCCTGATGACTAGTGTTGCGCTTTTGTTAAGTTGGGGGCGAATTGAGTGATTTCTAACGCAGCAAGACTTTGGGAGAGATTATTAGATTGAGTGATGTTTGTTTCGGTATCTAGAGCCTGCGCCGATATCTATGGATATCGTTGATTATGCTGATTGGGGGGGAGGAAGAGACTATGTGTTTCAGGTGAGCGTTCAGGGGATTTCTTAACTATTGCTTTTTCTAGACAAAAGCTTCAAATTCTTAACAATAATGATAACGATTATACAAAAACGATTTCACAATAATAATGCGATTTCACATGAATACGTTTCCACGAAAACAATGACTTTTCTGGTGTAAAGGACCTAACCGACAATCGACATAGCAATTAATGTGGGAAAGGGGGAGAGAGAGTTTTACAAGCGATAATTTACTTAGGGTGAGAATAATTGTACGCAATAATTCAAGTTTAATTTTGCTTGGAGAATAATTGTACGCAATGTGAATTCTGTTCTTTATTAGTAGTCCGTAGGCTGTTCTTTTATCCATTTTTTTTGTATGATGACATTTGTTACTTTTAATATTACTTTAGCTGTTAATAAAGATGTTTATAATGGAACTTAATCTCTATGAAAGAAACTGATGTAAGACGAGTCGAAAACTGATGGAGATATGCTGAAGAATGATGAGAAGACGCTGAAAGATGATGCTGAAAGATGATGAGGCGATGACAAATGCTGAAGGGGACGCTAAAAATTGATGACAAATGCTGTATTTCAATAAAAACAGGCGTGGAGAAGGTCGTGATTTTGTGCTGTATACCAAAAAGGGAAACCTGTTGTTTTTATCTGCGCGTCAAGGGAATTTACGATGTTATGCTGCTATTTTGCTGAAAAATCTACAGCAGCGTTGTGATGGGAATTTGCTGCAACGATGCTGAAAATTCTACCGGATCTGGAAATCAGCAACGTGGAGATACATTCATCCGGCGTTAGCGACATTCACGGCTCGTCTTTCGCCGTTTTATCCCGAAAAGCTGTAATCGGACCATTTAAGGAAGGTCTTAAAATGCCGTCTATTTTTAAATTTTCCTAGTTCGGTGGTCGTCTTTTTAAAATTTACGTTCCGCGGTGGCCGTTTTTATTTTTAAAATTTATACGTATTCAGTATTTTTATTGCTGATCTCTAATTTGATAACGCTAACGATAACAATTAAACTAATTCACCTAACGCTAACTCTAAAATAAAAATGAAATAAACAAAAAATCGAGCTTGATACAGAAATCGACAGCAAAAATTCAATTTCTAATAAAACACATCATTTTCTGCTGCGTTAGTTAATCGAACCTGGTGCAGACTCGTAATTCCATTATTATGGAACTCAATCTCTTTTATTTGAGAAGATAGAAAAGGAATATGTATTACAGAAACCCTTATTAAATTTATGAATGATGAGGAACGTAATGCGATAATTAACCAAGGACTCAAATTAAAAAAAATCTAATCCTCAACCACTTCTTTTATTAAAGATTTTAATTGGATTTATCTCGAAACAGTGGCTAGTTGATACATCACAATGACTCGGGTAATTCAATTTGGCAAATCACATATGAAGATGGTGATAGCATCAATCAACTAGTCTATAAAATTTTAGTCGTCAATACACACAATTTTATTATGGACCTTACTTTCTCATTTTATAACCGTTTGTTTTATTAAATTGAAAAAGTCAGGCTTTCAGCAAAATATTACGAAAATTCGAGAGACTTAACAAATGCATCAAAAATTGCTGAATCGTAAAATCAGAGTTTTGGACATCGATATCAATATACTTCAAGTAAGTGATATTCATCAGTTTTGTGATTTACTCGAATTTCAACATAATTCAGAGTATGTTTTTTAGCAAATATTAGAGATGTACATGCTTCAATTATTTATGCTCTTCAGCGTCAGGAAAAGCCTTTAGTTTGTCTAGAATTCCGATATTCTTCTCTCTCAATTTGGACAAAAAACCCAGGGATGTTTATAAGAATGGAAGAAATAGCATTTCTGGAGTGTATATAGAAAAAACAGACGCGAAAACCTTATTAATTTGTGGACAGAGTTGTCACAGTTTCCAACAATGCTAAACAAATTATATTTTGATTACACCGCAATAAATGATATAATCATGACTCCATTGATAAAAATCGTTGGACACAATTTAAAAGAGCTTACAGTTAAAAAATATTGTACTCAACAATTGTTTGAAGTTATTGCAGACCATGCAAAGAATATTTCTTCTTTGGAAATCAGGCTTAATGCTGCATCAGCAACACCATTTCTTTCAATAATAACATCACTTCAAAGCTTGCAGCTTTTAGTATCGAGATCAGCTAAATATCTTGACTTGCTTTCTGAAGACTTTTGGATAGAAATATCAAAAAATTTAATCACAATATATCAATTTTAACTTTACTCCACATATATTAGTTTTCCTTCTATTAAATCATAATGTTAAACTATGATCTTGAAGCTTTTAAATCTTGATTCTCAAATTTTTGCCAAGATAAAAGTTGCTTTGGTTTACATCTTGAAGAATAGATAAATAATTTTAATATATCTAACTTTAGTAGAGTATAATTTTATGTTTCGTCATTATCTAAATTGCATGTTTTCATTAGAATTGGATATTGTACTTTTGACTTCTATCACTTATTTTATAAAATATTACAATTTAATAAAATAGTTTAATAACTTAATATATCCTAATTAGCAAAATTGGCTTAAACAAGCTTTTCTAGTGACAAATGGATATTTGAAAATTAAACATATAAATTCTCACCATAAGTTTTTGCAATCACAACAAAATGAATTCGCTACTCACAATCATGTTTAAAGTGTCATTATTGTAAAAAAATTTAATTTTTTTTATCTTTAATTTTATATTTTGAAATTCATGAAATTTATTGATTTCTAGTTATTTGTTTAAAAATATTTTTTCAATAATTATATTTTTAGTTTCTATGAAATTTTAAATTTTAGAAAGCATTACCACATAACGATAAACAAAAAAATTTCAGACAAATCATAAATTGAATAGATATTTATTAAATATGATATTAAATAAATTTATCATTACGTATTATACCATTTTCTAATTTGTGTTTATTTGAATTATTAAATTATTTTCTATACAAACTTATTATAATAATTTATATGAAATAATAATAAGTTTATTAAAGTGACCAAACTTATAGAAAGCAATCAGAAATAAAAATTAGACAATAGAAATTCAAGAGTAATATATTCTTATGAGAATTTCTGTTATAAATTTTGTTTTTTAATATTTTGCTAAGGAAATGTTTGAAAGTTGATTATTTAAAGCTTTTTACATCATGAAAACTAACCTTCATTATTAAAAATTCACAGAGGAACACTTGAAAACATGGTATAATGACGATGTTAATACTTATAATAATTTTTTTCAATTTTGTGTTTAATAAAGCATGGAATTTTGCTTTAATGTAAACTCAAAATTTTTATAAACATAGCGATAGTAATAGTAACTTTAGTGTTAAATTTGAAATTAATACATCATCTACAATGAAAATGACAAAAATTTTATGTGTTGGTTTCTTAAAACATCGAGTTTTCGTATAGTTTTTGACTTCGTAAATCTGATAATGTAAAATTGTAATATTATATACTAACACGTGCAGGTAGCAAACTATTATTGTTCCAATATCTTACTATTTTTACTATCAATTTAACGACTGGCTTACATTTCAACTAAATAATATTTTTTTCTTTAACATTTTCAAGCGTAATGTACTTTAGCATTTGAAGAACTTCGTACATAGATTCCAAATTTTTTGAGGTTAAAATAGATTTT